ACAAGACCACATATTTGCAGCAAAATAGAATAGAATATGTTTATTGAAATATACTTAATATAAAGACGTTTGAACAGTTACATACTTTTTTTCAACACTGTCGTTAATTTGGAAAACAGCTCGTCTCTTTTTAATTATTATTTATTTTAATTCGGATTATTGTGTTAGTAAAATCCTTATTGTGTTAGTAAAAACTTATAAAACTATGTTAGTAACATATAATATACAGATACAGAGATACATTTAATTCATATATATGTGTCCACGTCCAGAAGCACTGGGTCCACAATGCAACGATATCCAGTGCGGACAATCAGGTATACTCGCAACAGTTGTTAGGATGCTATTTATGCTCCCCCGAATTCTAGACATCAGTGATGCAGCTCTTTTACGCATTATGGCTTGAGTTTTTAATTAATGTTGTTCAGAATTACATATTTAGAATTTTGTATGAAAACAAACGACCTAATGGCAAAATTGACAAAGTTACTTTTTAACGACTATGCGGCTTCATAAAATTTGACGAGAAGATATGAAGAGGACGTTAAAGACGATCGATTAATTAAAAAATAGCTGACGAACTCTCATAGAGATTTTTTTATAAATTATTATATCTTCTTAAAGCAGAAATAAATACACAGTATAAAATAAGTCTGTACGCTTAGATATTTTAAATTACGTACCGGAGTTTAATGCAGTTTCCAGCAATAGTTAGTACAGTTTAGAATAGTCATATTTCTAGAACTCCTTTGGAATGCAGATTCATGACAAGAAGAATTAGAAAGAAACTTGCGTGTTGATCTGTAAATGTTGTTCAGTATTATATTTTTAAGATTTCGTATAAATGGTACCAAAGACGTGGTCTATACATCCATAAGATCATGTATTTTGGCGACCAATTACAACCAGATGGACCCTCAGCTTGTTTACCATTACTATATAATATTATCAAATCTGTGCCATTCCTATTACATCTATCTTTATGTCAATTTTCATTAAAATCCGTATAGCCGATTGATTGTTAAGAGATATTAAACATGTGGGCAAACAAAAACGCACTATCGTATTTATAATATTACTAGATGTGTTACAAAAAACAGTTACCTACCAATTGAATTTTACTGCACTACTATCTTACTAATGGTATTGTATTTAATAAATAAATTTATGAATGAAACATCAAAATCTATATCTATAAAAAGTGGTAATATTGCCTATATTTACCATTTACCATTGCCTATATGAGTTGTCAAACAAGGTGGATTATCAGTTTATTTAGCATACCAATTACATAAAAAAACTCAATATTCATATTAAGGGCCTTATTATGAATATTGAGTGCATTGTTTCGTGAACGAGCCTGGAACCTTCTACACTTGCAACCGCAGTGCATCGGTCGGACGCGGTTGAGTTTCGTCATACTTTCTCGCAATTCGTATTGGGTGGATATTATTGCATAGAACGTATAATAGGCAGCCGGTTGACCTTACTCATTTATTATTGAGCTATTTGTTTTGTTCGACATTTTCATTTTTACGGAATTTGTGAATAAATTAAATGCTGACAAACATCTAGATGATATTAAGTATGTAATAAAACCGTAAACAAGTAGCGACTGTAAACAGTTACAATTAAATTTTGTTTTTTTTTAACAAAATTTAATTGTAACAGTTTACACGTTTAACAGTTAACGTAAATATATTTACTTTTTATACTTGGAACTTTTTTGACCGCGGTCAATATATAGTTTTGTTTTGTTTTTTCGACTAAATTGCACTAGCCCTGTTCACGGCCTCACTAAATCGCGAAACAGGTAAATACCTTTAACCATAAAATAATTCGTGTCAAACCCCGTATTATATATACGTCTTTCAACACGAACATTTTCTTGTGTATGCATTTGTGTGCGGACTTTCCTTAAGTGTCAGTTTCTTAAACAAGCATATGGCATGCAATTTCGCTTATAATTTCTTTTTAAAAAGTGATGTAATTCTAAAAATATAGACATTTGAGTTGTTATTCAACTTGGATTGAACTCGAAGAAGCACACGCACACCATACACACCCAGGCAGTATTTGTTACACAAAAACTGAATAGCTGTAGAAGTAGGTAGTAGAAATGGTTTTTATTCCTATGTTGCTTACATAAGCAATATAGGAATAAACACCATTTCTATTCAAAAATAATTGAAATGTATGGTCTATGGTCTATCTATGGTCACTTCTGGTGTCAACATAGTGTATTGTTAAAGGAATATGTATTAATTCTGTTGTACCTAATAAGATATATAAATATAATAAATAAAGAGTAGATTCTTCGTTTTTATTTTCGCAGGTACCTACGTGATGCACTCGGCGAATAATATATCTACCAAGATACCTCCAGCTATAATCTCCAAGAAAATTGTGAAGAATATATCATTGTATATTTTGTAAGAACCTGTATAGTATAAAAGAGTACGTTGAACCTTATTATATTAAATAATTTATGTACACCTTATATTCCTAAGTATATTATAAAAACCAATTGATGTTCGTTAGTCTCAATAATACTTAAAAAAGACTTGAGTAATTTCAATATATTTTTTTCATTTTATTCGTTATAATAAGGGAATGGTTTATAATGTAAAAAGATCATTGTAATTCAGCTAAACAACTAAACATTTTAGTTTTAGTTTGGAAAATTATTATAAATTGATAATTTTGATCGACATTTCGAATGATGTGTGAAATTCTGTAATTTCTTTTTAAATGGTTGTTATTTTCTTTTTTCTTTACTTATATTGTTTAAATTAATATTTAGGTTGTGGCCAGTCCTAAATATTAATTTAAATTAATTGGAATTTTAAGATTGATGTGAAATGATAATAATCATTTATCAATAGTTTTAATAGGTATATTTTATGTGGGTGATACAAAGTTCTGCGGGTCATCTATGTATATGTGTTATTTACGTCAATATTTCTTACGTAATAGCAACGGCAAACTGGCTGAAAAATTATATTGAAAAAGGCACTTGATAAAAACAGTAGGTACCATTCAAACTAATGTTAGGTATTTTAATGGAAAGAGGAATTAATTAGTTTTATAATGCAAGACACGTATAAATTGAGGTATCTATTTGTTAACTAATACTTGAATACTATCGAGTGTCCGTACAATTTCATGACCTATATATTATTATTCGTAAACTTCAATATTTAGACATAATGACTACTATATACTATTTTTTTACTTAGGGAATGTCACTGCATATCTTTCGTACATGCCTTTATAATGACCTAGTAACGACACTAATGTATTATGTAATGTTAAGATTTATGTAACGAAAACAGCATAAACGCAAATTGTAGTAATACACTTAGAAATATAATAAGTTAATTAATTCTAGAAATTCTGAAAGTGAAAACAAATGGCAGGTAGATATAGACAATAGATTGTCTAGAAAAAGAAACCAAAAAGCATCTCGTTATAAAACTATCTCTCGTAAATCTAACGAAATATCAAGACGATTTTTAAATTTAGTAGAAAGTAACTAAACCTAACTAGTTTCTACCTGCAATATCGGCCGGATATATTTAATAACTTAAATTTTAAAGCAGCGTATGTCCTTCTCTAACTCAAATACTATGTCTACAGTAGGTACTATATATGCTAAACATGACAATTAGTTGAATCGCCCGCTTTCTCCATCTCGCAATTGATAAAGCATTCCATCAGTCTACCAAACCTACATATATCTATACATATAAATAAAATTAGTGTCTGTTTGTAATATTGAAATAATCGTTTTTTACTACATGCATATGAATATAAATATGGTACATACACCAAAATAAGATTTTTTTCAATTTGTGTATGTCTGTTTGTTCCGGGTAACCCTGAAATGGCTGAACTGATTTTGACGGGACTTTTTTGGCAGGTAGCTGACGTAATAAGGCCTAATTTACACTTAGGCTACTTTTATTTTAGAAATATAAAGTTAAATTCCACGCGGCCGAAGTCACGGGTACAGCTAGTACCTATATTATATAATTAAATTAATTAATATTGTTTATTGTATAACTAAATATAGTAATAGGTAGATACTAATAGCTAAAGCATAGCTAAATGCCAAATATATTTTTTTAAATGTAGGTACTTGTATATTTTAATACACCTAGGTAGTAAAATAGTTTATAAATATAGATGATATATTAATTAAATAAATATAAAACCAAAACTATAATGTTCTTATGAAGCCATGTATACAAAGCTTTAATAAATATAAAGAATTAAATTTTAGATCAATCAATACCAATTATATTTATACTTATCGTAATAAAGATATTAAAATATTTTTTTTTTATTTCATTAACCGATAATAAATAATATACCTGTTTATTTCTGAATAAAACGAAATCTGTGGAAAAAGAATGAATAATGTAATAATCCTGGACAATTCGCACAACGTCATCTAGTATCAAACTAAGCAGATTTTGTGTTATGGGTATGAAAAAACTTTTTTGTATATATAGTTAATATACATAGAAAACACCCAGACCAATACAAACAATCACACTGGTGAATAGATAAAAATGTTTGTACAGTGTTAGAAATTGAAAACGAAGCCGTCAAAATTCGAGTACTATTGTCTTTATCGACTTTCTATAATTAAATTTATATACATATATAATGTTAAAAACTCAGATCACATCGATTTTTGAGAAATTGGACCTAGAACTATCTGTGAATTGAATTGTAAAAAAAATAATTTACCTAAAGAATTCCCACCCCTAAAGTAAATAATTATTGTTACTTATCGCAGATTTCTTCGAAATTTAATCAGAATCATCTAGCTATAAAATATTATCGCATCTAGTCAGTTTGCATATCTACGTTATTGATGTCAATCACCGGACAATCGTACTACAGTTCTGTAGTCAGTTTACTGTCATTCTACGAAATATTACTGTCAAATCTAGTCATGCGGACGTCAATCAATAAAATCAAAACAAAACCCACATGGGTTTAGTGATCATAGATGCTTTTGTATTTTTAATTGTATTAACTATCCATTATTTAATATTCATTAAACTAAAGTTTTTGATATACAATAATAGAGTTATATATATGTAGAAAAAATGTTAAAACCTAAGAAGTTGGGAGATGATCTCCCTGGGTTTGAAGTACCATCAGGCGAAGGAGACACGCAGAATGAACAGTCTAATATTAAGAAGAAAAAGAAGAGTTCAGGTGGTTTCCAATCTATGGGTCTTAGTTTTCATGTTATTAAGGGCATAACTAAGCGAGGGTATAAACAACCAACACCTATTCAACGTAAGGTAATTTCAACATAACCTCAATTATCATTTATACGAAGAATAATATTTATTAATAATATATTCCACACTGAATAAAAAAATACATAAGACGAATATAATTCTAAGACTTTCTTCCAGCATTCAATGGAAAGCCGAAAAATTTATGAATGAAATTAAAATTTATAATATAGCCAATAAAACACAATAAAATGTATATTTATTACTCAGACATTTACTATGGAAGAAATAAAATACATTTGTTAAAGGGAACACAAATTTCTCTAAATCTTTTTATTTTATTTTTAGCAAAAGGAATGTATAAAAATTTAATTGTTTATATAGTATTTTATGTCATGTTTCATAAACATTAGACATGTTTGTTTTAACATAAAAAATATTTCTTAAAAAGAACTTACTAGAATAAAATCTTTTCATGTATTTCTTATTATTATATCTAATTATGAGCTGATAACATTGTGTGTGTGTAACAAAATAAGTGATTTATAAAATTCATCACTATTACTCTGTAATTGACTAGTCAATTAAGTAATAAGTATGGTCAATATGTCTTAAGGAGGCTTTCCTTAAGTTCTAAAACTTCACATATTTTTATTAATTGTAATGTTAAAAATTAACATGCTGTAAGGTTTATTTGAAATTAAGACTTCGAACAATATTCTTGATAAAAATATGAGTTATATTATAATATGAATGTTTATCAATTCTCAGACAATTCCACTGGCATTAGAAGGCAAAGATGTGGTTGCCATGGCACGGACAGGATCAGGCAAGACAGCATGCTTTGTGCTACCAATATTGGATAAACTCATAGCACCAGCTAACAAACCTTTGCCAGGGAAGAATTTCAGGGCTCTTATTCTGTCCCCGACTAGAGAATTGGCATTACAGGTAATACTATGGACAATAAACAGTTTATTGATGGAAAAACATATAGATGACCTTGTTCTAAATATAAATTTAATTATTTTTCAGACTTTAAGATTTGTTAGAGAACTAGGCAAATTTACAGGGCTCACGTCAGCAGCGATCCTTGGAGGAGAGTCCATTGAACAACAATTCAGTGTTATGTCAGGAAAATCTCCTGATATTGTTGTGGCCACACCGGGGCGATTCCTTCACATATGCATCGAAATGAGTCTTAAATTGGATAACATAAGTAAGATAAATTATTTATACTATTACTGTAATTAGTACTTTCTGTTGAAATTTCTCAATTAATGGTTTTACTAATTTGAATGAGATATTGTCATGCCACATCCTAAAACTTTGAATAATATGTATTAAATAATACTAATTATATCAAATTATATTTGAGATTACTTCTTTTTTTAAACTTGTAAAATGCAATGTTTTTAAGCAATTGTATGCTTTTGAACTACTGTGGTAAAATAGTATTACTTTTATATTATTTTATTTTATTTACTTTCTAATGGTTGTATTTGATCCCTACAGTACACAAGTATTTGTCTAGTTTAGATGTTTCTCTATGTATTTAAAAATTATTGTTATCATAATAAATTAGACTATAGATTTAGGAAATTATCACTAATTATTTCAATATTTGTCCATGCTCATTTGCAATAATATTTATAACATGCAAATGTTGAAAATGTTGAAAATGAACATTAACTTAATAATGAAATGATTACTTTACAGATGTTGTGGTATTCGACGAGGCTGACCGCCTCTTTGAGCTTGGCTTTGGCGAGCAACTAAGAGAAATTGTCGCCCGTTTGCCTTCCAACCGTCAAACGCTATTATTTTCGGCGACATTACCAAAAATGCTTGTGGAATTTGCTAGAGCAGGTCTATCGGATCCGGTGCTAATCAGATTAGATGTAGATTGGAAGCTGCCGTCAACATTATGGCTTGGTTGGTTGTATGTGAGGGCAGAATTGAAGACGGCCGCATTATTATTGTTGCTGGATAGGGTGTTGACACCTCAAACACCTCAAGCTGTTGTATTTGCTGCTACCAAGCATCATGTGGAATACTTAAATTTAGTAAGTTGTATATTTTATTGTTTAACACAAATAGACTGTTATAAAGTGTGTGCTTTTCTCATGTAGTGAAATGTATGTATGTAGTGTAGTCTGAAAGAAATTGTTTGGCAATAAGACCATCATATTACACTACACCAAAAATAATTAAAATACTAAAGATATGTTACTATTTTAATTATTGTTTATATTTAGTGTAATATAGAGTATAAAAAAAATACTGTACTGTAACATTCGTTTAGCACTACAGTAGGGCTCCTAAATATTATTTTACTCCAACTTTTTCAATTATATATTCAGATATTGCAAAGAGCTGGTATATCATCAACATACGCATACTCCGGACTTGATCCCTCGGCCCGTAAGATTGCACTTGGCCGTTTCACAAACAAGAAATGCTCCGTTCTTCTAGTTACCGACGTAGCCGCTAGAGGGCTTGATTTGCCGGCACTTGATACTGTAATCAATTATAATTTCCCGGCGACTCCTAAGTTGTTTGTACACAGAGTGGGTTAGTATTATATAATCATTTCATTTAAATAATTTTAATATAAACTCTAGACAATTCTCTCTCTCTCTCTTATGAATGTATGTCTAATAATAATAATCTCAGGAAAATTGACACAACGCCATCTAGACCCAAGTTAAGCTAGCTAAAGCTTGTGTTATGGGCATTAGATAACTGATACAAATTCTTTTTTTTCGTAAATACATATATATTATACATTGAAAACACCCAGGCCGATACAAACAATCATACTCATAAATACAAATGTTTGTGCCGTGCTAGGATCCAACCCGCGACAATCGGAATTAAGGCGGCGTGCTAAACCCTTAGACCGTCGATAAAGTCAATAATAAAGTAAAAGAAACCCTATTATTAAAAAAATATATATTGAATTGACTGTTTGTAACCAGCTATGGGTGGAAGGGGATTTTTACTAATATGGACTAACAACCCCAATTTCTTATAAATTACTATGTCAGATTGACCACCACGCGGTTCGTATTGTCGTAGTTCGTATATTCAGTAAGCATCGTGATATTCATTACATTCTCCACTGGTGCCCCGCCAGCAAAAACCGTTAGCGCAAGTGAGTGCACTATTACATGATCATCCATAAAAAACTGAAACCATTGTCATTATACACAGGGCGCAGTGCGCGTGCAGGCCGTGCGGGCCGCGCTTGGTCGCTGCTGGCGGCCGCCGACCTCGCTCACCTGCTCGACCTGCAGCTGTTCCTCGGCGCGGAACTACTCTCGCCAGCACAGGTATTTCCGAGGCAGAATTTTCAGAAGTCACATGATTAATCTTAGATGATTTTAGATTTTATGTTAAATTATAATAAATATAGCTTGTTATTCCAAATGGGAATATTGCCGAACATGTCCGCATTTCATTTGATGATCTAAACCCAACGTGTAATACTACCGTCTCTAGAATTAATTTGGTTTCTTATCGGTATTTCCATCATAAGAGATATAAATTGCCACACAAAGTTTTTTAGTCGCTCTTTAGGATGAATATTATAAAAATTGTCTACTTCGTTTATAGGTGACGGAAAAAGGTCTCACCTGTCCTAGTGGCGTATGGGGTATCATGCCGACCAGCCAGTTAGAGCTTCGGCACCAGGATGTGATGAGCTGGGAGAGGAATTACTCAGAAATTGTAAGTAATGTTCCCGTATATAACATAGTAACCATATTACGTTAAAGATTCTAAGTTAAAAAAAAGAGGCGCTAAACCCATATAATATGTCGATCATAATTTTAAAAATATCCCGTTATATGGACAATAAATAGATGAATAACTTACTTAATACAGGTATACGCTACACTGACTCGTGTATGGTAGCACCATTGAAAACCAACGTTGTAGTAGAACTTAGTTATGCTACAAAGTAAATAATGAGTGGGAGTCACTTTCATTGTCACTGGGTGTTTTAGCTTAGAAGTTAAATAAAATTGGGTATTCTGTCGGAATTTGAGCAACCATAGAACGTAACGCAATGAAATAGAATATATATTATACAAAACAATACCTAATTCGATAAAACATACGTATTAATTTTACAATTCTTAATGTAATACCAGGAAGAGGCAGCTAGAACCTGTTCCCGAGGGTTACAGCAGTACGTGAAGTGGCGGGAAGCGGCCTCGGCCGAAGCCAATAAGCGCGCCAAAACTATCACGCCCCCCGCTTTAACGCATCCGTTTCTGCTTGAGGACAGCGGGGACGATGCGAACAAACTAGTTGAACAAATCAAGAATTATACTCCTAAAGGGGTGAGTTACTATGTATAGTGTGAAAGCTTTACTAATATAAAATATTAGTATCTTTATCGAATTACATCAAGGATAATTTCAGTACTATAATAATATTTTTGTGTTATTTATTATATTCATTCATTGGCCTTCTTAATAGGTAAATCTTCTCATTTCATAATTATTTTATTGTTTCAGACTATCTTAGAATTAGCTGCAAAGAATGATTCTCCCATGTATTTGGCAATGAAAGCAAAAAAACATGCTCATGGTAAAATGGTGCAAAAAACTAGAGACAACAAAAAATTACTGGTATGTTGACAGTGCTTCTCTGTCATATTCTATTATTTAGAAATACATGGAATAACCATAACCCAAGGAAAACAGAGTTAATGCTGGAAATAATGAGGCTATCAGAATACCTCTCTTCAATATGTGCAATGATAGAATGATGAAAACAGTACTGATTTCATCACCCATGTATATGTCTATACTAATATTAAAGAGGTAAAGGTTGTGAGCTTGTATGGTATAATCTCTGAATCTACTGAACCTATTTAAAGAATTCTTGTAACTGGTTCGTTAACCTATTTATAGAAAAAGGTTTTATCACACCACACCACGACCAATAGCAGCGGATCTGTAATGAAAATGTTGCAATAACGGCAAAAATGTGGAGCATACGAAGTCGTGTGGGCCAGCTAGTATATTAACTAATAATTATATTGATTTTTTAGGCTGAAGGAATACTAGTTGAGAATATTGAACCAAATAGAAAGAAAAAGAAGGAGGTTATTCGTGATGAGAATTACATTCCTCATCAAGCAAGTGACCAACATACTGAAGCGGGGTAAGTTCAGGAGTGAGTCTAGTGTGTAGTGATTTCCGTAGTGACAGCATACAAAAAAATGCTAGAGAGTGTATTATTAATCTAAAAGAATAAATCTCATTCGGCCATTCTCTGTGGACACCAAATATCTGTGATGTGCTATGAACTCACTACCATCTTTCATATGTAGCACGTAATCACTACCCATTTTTAAGAACGCTGTAAAATCACATTATCTCTCCAATAAATATTCTTTCTGCTGTCCTTTCTTACTGCAATAAAGAGTAATAAATAAATATCGGAGTTCAGTAATGCAACATTGTGTTGTTATTCTCCGGCAGTATGGCAGTAAACTTCAACGTGGGTGCAGCAGCGGCTGAGTTGCAGCTGGGCGCCGACTGCGGGCAGGCGGCCCGGGCCGCGCGCTCGCAGCTGCGGTGGGACCGGAAGCGGAAGAAGATGGTGCACGTCGACCCTGTACGTTCTGATATGTTATATTCTAACGACTTACATTAATATTGATAAACAGCATAAATATTATTAGTTATAACAACAAAACTTTCAGCAATGGGGACTGATAATTGTACGTACATTCTGACATGCTTACCATTATGTTGCAACATGCAATGGTTGAAAATTGATCCGACGATCAATTATTGATGGACAACATAAATATTATTAGTTGTTGTTATAACAAAACCCTCAGCAACGGTGCCAGCCAATATTTTTCGGTACTGCAAATATAATCGCTTCTTGTTATATTCAATTTTATATTATGGACTATCCAGGAATTATGTATACTCATTTCCCCCACTCTCACACACAGATGGTCACAGATATTAGTTAAATTTAGTGTTTTAATCTAAAATTATCTTAAATTTTAAACGTGATGTCACTAAATCTTTTCCTAAATGGGAGGGGTTCTAGATTTCATTTTTTTTACACGAAATTCATTCATTCATTGTCTGTTATACTGTATGACATAATTTATGGATAACCCATATGGAATTATGGTTATAGGATGGTGGTCGAAAGATGATCCGCACTGAGAGCGGCGGGCGTGTGCCGGCTAGCTTCCGTAGCGGACGCTATGACGACTGGCGACGCAGAAATGCAGCGCCTGACGCTGATGGCGATGACGACGATGCACCGGCACAAGCTAACAGAAAGAAACCAGGTGACGAATATTGACTTTCATATTGCAATAAAAGTAATCGTAGAAATCTTATTTCTTATCTTAATCTTAATAATATTATAAACGCGAGATTGTGAGTATGGTTGAATGTTTGGTACTCTGACACGCAAAAACTACTAAACGGATTTTGATGAAACTTTACAGTAATATGCAATATAAAAAATGCTTTACAGCTTATATGTTATTCTGATGTATAACATCAACATTTACTGCGGGTGAAACCACGGCCACAGCTAGTATATAGTAGTATATAATATAAATACCAAAGCTTCATTAATTTCTTACATTTCTAATACCACAGTCAGAGGAGAATGGGATTGTTCGAAATGTGGATTAATGACTCCCTTGCTAACAATGTTCCATATCAGGTCGTACCTTTACACGTTTTCACCTGGAAAATATCGTAGTAATATGCCATTTGCCAAGATGGGCTAACCCTGACTTCATGTACATTTTGTCATTACAAACTAATATCAATAAGCAAACATTTGTTTTTATTACTTTTAGTGCCCAACGCAAAGAGGAATGTTATACTTATAAGTTTGGCAAGTGTTTGTGTCTGTATATGGCATAGCTCCTAAACTAATTGACCGGTTTTGATGCTGATTTTTCGTTTGAAAGCTGATGTGATGATGATTTTTAACTACATTTTATTTGTATTTTAATTCGAAACGATCACGTATACAAATATCAATCGATATTTCGGATTCATCAAAGATTTCTTTTTTTTACTGTTTCATACAAAAACTGAACTGATTACTTTCATGCATATATCCTATATTACTAATTCATATGGTGCTTTACTCAAATTCACAAGAGCAGAGCCTATGATTACTGTAATATAAAACGCGATAGTAATTGAAAACAGAAGTTGCAAAAGAGAAATACATTTATGTAATTGTGTCATATAAATTGTTTCATGACCATATATTATGCATTATTTCTAGAACAGTCAATATTACTCGCATGGAAAACTTTAGTTGTGTAATCAATTTGCGTGAAATATCTATGAATTGTATACCACAGACTGTAATTAAAATGGTAATAACTTAGGTATTAGATATAATTAAGGTTGTAAATAATAAATTTAAATGTATAATTAGATTTATTATAGATATGCAGTATAATAGCTGTTCCGGCAAACGTTGTTTTGCCATATAAATTTAAGTACTAATATCGCTATTTAGGGACTGATGATAGACGGATGTATGAAAATTTTAGGGTTGTGTGTATTTTTAATGTTCATAAAATAAAAAAAATAAAAAATGTAAGCAAAATATTTAAGGGTGACCTTATCAATTGAGGAGTATGAAAAATAGATGTTGGTCGATTCTCAAACCTGTCCGATATATACACAAAATTTAATAAGCGATAAAGCCGTTTCGGAGGTGTTTAATAACAAAAACCGTGACACGAGTATTTTATATATTAGAAATTTGTATATTTTTAATATTAATTATGCGTTTTAGTCGCAGTATATCCTGGTAGACAGTAAATAATGACTAGGTGAGAATAAATTCAACAGGAATAAACCGTTATTTACAGCTGGTCCGCGTTGGGATCAATATTACGTGGTACATTGCTAGAGAATGGGCCATTAATTCCCATTATTAACAATCCCTTCTCTCATACTAACCTATATTATATTTCTATGTTCACGATATTTCCCTGACAAGGTAAACAGATCTGAATATTCTACCTGATAAGGTAAATGGGCGTTACATAGAAATTGGATATCTGTAGCAAAGTTTATACATATAAGTGAACTTTATATAAAACTAGCTGTCCCGGCAAACGTTGTTTTGCCTTAAAATTAAAAAAGAGGGGTTTCGGGGTGGACTACCCCTAACATTTAGGGGGATGAAAAATAGATGTTGGACGATTCTCATACCTACTCAATACGCTCACAAAATTTCATGAGAATCGGTCAAGCCGTTTCGAAGGAGTATGGGAACGAAAACTGTGACACGAGAATTTTATATATAAGATTAACACTTTACTAGTTATAATACCCATTTAGTTAATCAATTATTATTGATGTTTACAGTCTCAGAGTTTCGACCACATTGGGTGAAGCACAACGAACGTGTCGCTAAGAAAAAATCGGAAGCATCCTCGAAAGAGTTTAGTGATAAACACAAGATCGTGAAGGAGCGCCTCCGTAGGGAAAAGATCAAGCAAAAACTTAAACACAAAATGAAGGGCAAGAAAAAGAAGAAGAAATAATGTGTATATTTTTTTTTATAAATGTTCGAATCTTAAATAGAACAATTACCTAATATTGAAATTTTATTGTCCCAAATAATGATCTGCAGTTGTATTATATAGACTGTTGTCTCATCTATTCTCATTCGAAACACTAGAAATGCAAGTTGATTATCGAACTTTGTTACATCTGTCAGTATTTATAGTTGTATAAATTGTAAATATTGCCAAAACTGCCTATTTATTTAATTAATTCTCAAATAAACAGACAGCTTAGTCAATAATTTTCTAATTATAAGATAATCCAGCTGCTTTTTAAACGATAAATGATAAATATAATTGTGTATAGGAATTAATAAAAGACAAACAAAAATCCTTATATATGTATATTTAAAAAATTAAGATAAACATTAGAGTACCTACTTACAATTATCTGTACACATTGATAAATATTTTTTTCTGAGGAAAAGTTTTAAAATATTGGACATCGGATTTAATAATAAGTATATTATATCCGGAATAATTATAACCATTATCATAAGCGAAAATGTATTTACAGATTTATTGGTTTTAACTAGTAAACATTATATGGATGTCAGTATATATAATTCCATATTTATAATATTTAAAGGTACTTCAGTAATAAGTCCTATCTACATAATTATCATAATCCAATAACAACGCACAATAATTTACACACACTTGACATTTTATATAAGATTGAAACCTATGAGCAAACTAGCAATTTCATATATATTCGCGATTACTAAAAATCTCTATATATTCACTAGCAAAACAAATATATTGAAATTTTAATGAGATATTATTCTATACTTATTCAGTATACTCGACGCCTTTATTACCATATTTATTTACTTGACATTCGGACATGAGAAAGATCCAGTTCCCAAATGTCAGACAAATTATATTAAAACATAATCTCCATGCAAATATAAATCATATTTAAGTATTTAATTATACTCTTATACCAAAATATTGTATTTAAATAATCAATAATTGTAATTAAAATAATAAAAACACGTGACTGATATAATATGTGTCATACATTCAGTATATTCCAGTTAAAAATTGATTTAAAGATACAAAAAAAGATGGCGTCGATGATAACATATTCTCTATTGTAATATAGCATTCTCAAATGAATCATATAACGTTAAGCTTCCTATGTAACACAAGACTATAAAACCGTCATTCCTTATTACTATACAATTATTTGTAACAGTGAAGTTTCGGAATATTCGTGAATAGATCGAAAAATAGAAGCTTTCTATCTTGCGGGAAAGAGTTAACATTATTTGGCAACAATCATCTCACTCGCTCGCTTACACTAAGCGAATATAAACAACTATCAAAACCGAATCGCTTTAAAATTATATTACAGAAGATTTTATTCAAAACAAATTGGTTCCATTATATTTAGTGATAAAAATAATCTATGCAACCCTATAACAAACTTGTTTTGGCCTTAAGCCGATCCACAACACCAAAACAATACCGTACAACATTGATAAATTTATTTAAAACGTATTATACTGTTCCGCATACAGTTCCACCTAGTTAAGTTGGTGTCTCTGACATTGCTTACATAGGGTTGGATATTTAATTTTAACAATTTACTTGTAATTATTCATATAATTATATCTATGTAATGCCATATTTGTCTTCAATGCTTTGGCATTTTAGTCACACATTGGAAATTAATTTCCTTCGCAATTTCATTTACACTATAAAAGCTAGCAAAAGACATCTGATTATTGTAATTAATATTTAAAAATCTAGCAAAACGCACGCAATTGCTATTTTAAATATAACTGAAGAAACGTCTAAATAAGACTCGCAATTCGTATAATTATATACCAGCCGGTTTCTTTTCCATCATTAATAATCACGAGATATAATAACCCGATGTCTGTTCTAGCTTGACTCAATTTACAAATAAAACTTAAATTTACTCTCGGCTGAGAAATCTAAACCTAAACCACTTTTCATGCCTGAACAATCAGTCTTCTCTTTGCGAAAATTATCATAATCAATTACCTATTTACAGTTTTTTTTTCTTTCAAAATTTAACATTCCTAAGCGCAGCCAATTTATATATGAAATTTATTATCAGTGTTAGTTTCTAGAAAGCTCTATGGGACTCTAAAGTAACTATAATGGACGGGGCGATCTTGTGATTTTAGTGATATGATTGAGCAAATGAATAAGTCTGATAATTTAGGTAGCGAGTGACAGTGGAATTATGGCACTAAATTTTACATAAATTATCTCAAACTATATTCTCGTTATGAGGAACAGCCGTGCCCGACAATCGGACGTTATGGGTGATGTACGATGATCTGAAACTACATTAACCGATGATGCGAACATTTTAAACCGATACATAATATAATTTCAGCAAAATGTAACTAAAATAATTGTTCATTTTAAAGACAACATTCTTATGACTACTCATGACATAGTACGGCTATTAATTAACAAATAAAAACTTGACATCCATATGAGATAACGGTTTCGATTAACCTACCTATACAGAGTTAGTCGTAAGGTAAACCAAGCCGAAAACCAAAAGATTCATATACTAAACCATCAAGAAGCAAAGTAGAAATTTGAAAAAAAAACTGAACTTTTAATAACTAAATCGATCAAGTGACCATGACAGGTTCTAAAATTATTTTAAATTTTCCATTTCGCTTCTTGGGGTAAATTCATAATTCAAGTACTATCGCAGGCTGTCGGTTTGGCCTTTTACGAGAGAAATTATATAATGCTAAAAATTATGAAAAGAGATTTCACTCGAAATTATTTCAACAAGCATGGAAGAGAACTACATTAATTTTGGTTGACAAATAAATTTATTTTTATAATTAAAACAAATTCATCAAAATCTCGTTCGAAATTCACTGTAGACAATTTCAACAAAACCTCACATTGTATTCACGTTGAAAAGTCGATATAATAATAAATCGAAAATTGTCGCATGCCAATTCTAATTTACAAACGTCGAATTGTATAATCTCATTTGAATAGTGTTGTGACAACTTATTTTATAAGTGTCTTCACACACTTTTTAGGAGTATTTCATATTATATAATAAATAATTTTATATTTATATGTCATAGAATGTTTGGTATGATGACTAGTGTCTACTTGTGATTTCATCAGACCATTTAAATGTTTTTGAATTCAAATATTTCTATTAGAGACATGATTGGGACATGTCAACATCAATCATAGAAATAGCTAAAATTATTACACCTGCTTTTCTTTTTAATTTATCAATAATAATTATGGAATTATAAAAAACACTCTCTGGCCATGTCTCATAATCATAATAGTAAAACGCTTTATAATTTAACCTCGACATCAAAATACAATCTCAGAGGTGTGAAACGACTTTAGTGAATTATAAAATTTTAACGTATTCACATTCTATGTGGTACACCGATCAATTAAAAACATTGAATTTATTATTGAATATATGTTCTGCTATACTTTTAAGTTTAAACATTGTAGTAGTAGTAGTAGTAATATTCTCAATGTTTATCGCCTTTCGTACCAAAATTTAATAAATAAACCTTATGTGTATTGAGTCGAGGGCAGGTTTCCGCGCGTCCATTCATAGTATACCATTGGTGTAGTACTGGTAGTTATCGTAGAGACGGGTGGAGAGAGAGTGTAGTGCGTCTCTAACGAGCCGGTCCACTAACGTTTGTAGTTGCGGTTCAGTACGGCCCGGATGGAATCTCGCCCGCAGCGACGAGACGGCGCTACTACTGCGGAGGCAGGATAGCTGACCGCCTGTGGAAAAAGGATTAATCAATTAAATATTTACAATTTTTCTTCTTCAATACCGGAGCGAATATTTCAAAGTATAATTTTTTCATTTTCTTTCCATCCTTTTACACGCAGTTTCGAGATTGTCGAAAATTTCGTATAAGTTTCTTCCTTTTCTCCATGGACTAATTCAGCAGCATGCTCAAAAAACAATAATGCCTATATATTATAGATAAAATACCAAGGACCTAATCAGAAATTCAAAAATAAAAAAATCTGGTGTGCACTGGAACGCAGCCTTAACACAATCTTGACACAATTAAAACGTAAACACATTGAATAAAAGACATTTATTCGACAGTATAGTTATTTTATGGCAAACAGAAAAGTTTATTCACAGACTTTTACATTTTTATATTTCATTTATTCCAATTCAACTAGAATCGATTGGTACATTATCGTGTACTATACAGATAGAAACGGTAACTATAATGATTTATTTATCAACAAGATACCGGTTCCATAGTTTAAGGTGTTTACACTCTTCACACCTCATTCAATATGACCTTTGTTTTTTACATTCAAATAAAAACTTGAATCTGTAAATAAAACCAAGATAGCACGTCTGGCGCCCGTCTCACACAAGTGAGAAACGAGTTCCGTTTTTAGCAGTACAAAATAAAGATCATTTTTCTTTAACCTAAAGTTCAAGTGTAAACTTTATTTTTACAAATGAACTTGTTCTCACTAACTTAGCTCATGGTTAGTTTATCAACACGAATTAGAACTGTGCTGTATTTTTATGGATAAAAAGTACGCCACACCTTACAGTCTATTATTTTCTCTTCACTGCGAAAGAAATGAGGGTAATGATTTTCGAATTTCTATATAATTATGTTTACTTTTTTAAGTAATTAGGACGGCAATCAAGTTGTCGGCTCACCTAGTTAGTAGTAACCATCATTATACATATAAACATAGTCTTTTCATATAAACAGCACCACATTCATCATTTTATCATGTGATGTATGGGTACAATTCATACTCTATTCTAGAGGACTAAGACGCCCCCTAATATCTAATAGCTTAGTTATTATTGGCTATACATTTTATTATAAATGCCTATGGATTCTCGATGCAAGGGTATTTTAGATTAGGTTTACTTATAGAAATAGCATTATCAAACCAAATCAAAAGTAATTTATTCCTGTAGGACATTTTAGCCGCTTATGAACATCAAATTTGTTGCATTAATATTTTCCTCTAGCGTCCAGTTCAGTATACAGATTCAATAAGAAAAACTGACAAGAAACTCAATTGTTGCTACATGTACACTCAAAGCTACGCTACACTCATACACGTGATGGAAATCAGTCCATAGCGTGTATACTCAAAGTTTATATTCGATAACCCATCGAATAAAAGTGACCATAAACTGGCAAGGTATTTAATAGTCCCGTGTGTCACGAGATAGAATGGAAAACAAACAAACAAAGGCCCTCCTGATGAAAAGTGAAAACGGTCATTATTTGACATTGGTCAGACATCACAAAATAAACAAGGAATTAATAGCAATACAACAAAGTACAGATGTGTTTATGTAGTAAATATTACGTAAATGTAGATGTAAGTGTTTAAATAACTGATTAATTTGACGTAAGACGACTTATGGTAGGTATCCAAAGATTTTTAATTTGTTTACTTTGCACTGCTAACATTTACATATTGTACAGTATAGATAAATAAATACGAATCATTTATAACTGTTTAAATTTTTGAGCTACGTTAAATTATTATTTAGTCTATTGACTATAGTAAATCAATAACGATTTAGGATTTAATTAGGTTTAAATAGAAATATAGTCATGTCTAAATTGAAATAATGTAAAAGTAATAGCGTCACATTTTGTCCGTTTTTACAGCATTTCTTATTGCTCAGCTCCCATTTGTCGTAGTCTTTCCCCGGATTATTTAATAGTAAATTAATTATCAATATCGTCTGACTTTAAGTTCTAAGTAGTATTGGAGATTACACCGAACATATTAGTATACGCTCACGTCACAAAATATCAATTATTTAAAAGAACAACACGCAAATTTCTTTCTCGTTCTTCTTATTCAACTTTAAGAATGAGCAGTACATTAAAAAAATATTTATGATAAAGGATTTTCGATTCTATTTCTATCATTATTGTTTTTAGTTCTAAGAATATGTTTTTTTATAATATAATTAGTAAAACCAATTTAACATTGCATTCTAAATCCTTTACCATGTTGAGAAAAATAACCGTATATATCTTGGCGTAAGGCGTAATCCATCATATGTACTTTACCTTGGTATTTTGTGCATTGAAGTTATTTATACAAAAATAACTTACCCATTCGCATCAATTCCACGATATGTATTATCTGATCACAATGCTTCCTCGCCGCAATAAGTCCGCGCAGTATTAGTATTTTGAAGTATTGGAACATGTCGGACTGCTCACCGTCCATTACTTCCACGAATTCTTGTGTTAACTATAAAGATAATATTTTCTTCAGAATATAATTTATTTTCTGATAACACATTAAATTAAATAAAAATAATCATTAACAAATAATCTAGATTTTTAAGTATTATTCAACGGTTCTCTTTATTCTATAGCTACATTCATAATAATAACTCTGTATAATATTTAAATAATTTTTTTTTAAATACAAACACATTTTACATAGAAAACACCCAGATCGTTATAAACAACGAATACATTTTTTTGTGGGAAGGATCGAATCCAAAACCATCGGAAGTTAATCGGTGTGCTAAACCACTAGAACACCGGGACCATCAGGTTTAAAAAAGAAGGAAAGTCTACATTCACAATGTAGTCTCTTTAAGATTTTGTATGAATATAGAATATCAAATAGCACAAGATTAAAAATAAATGCTTGTATGAAATTTCGATCTCAGTATTTACCTTAAAAGGTGAACTCTCGAATCCAAGGTTCTTGGGTGATATTGAGAATATGAATCCAAAATCAATGTGTATTATATGGCCCGCGCTGTCCAACAATATATTTCCATTGTGCCTGTAGATAATACATATTAAGTAATTTAATATAAATTCACATTGTTATCTAATGATTACAAACTTCCAAAGTCCCGTCACAGACAATGAATTTTCAAAGACATCACATATTTGTATATTTACATGGTATTTGTAAATATACTTGTCAATTATTACTCATAAATCTTTTTTTTTATAATTTGCGTAGGTTGTCTATATTTCATTATTGTCATTTATTGGCCCTATCGTAACCTACAAATTGAGTAGGTATAGGTTAGAAGGGGCACAGGCCACTATAGGGCACAGGGATGGTTACCCAAGTAAATTATCCAAATTAACATGCCTGATATCCAGGTCCACCTGAAAATCAGGGCCTGTAAATGCCTGCAAATATATTTATTATATGTTAACTAGAGTATAGTTAGAACTTATTTAGGGAACTGATTCACTTTTGATTTCCTAATCCTACATATATTGAATCCACGGTTAGTTAGACCCTACCTGTCCTTCAATTGAAGCAGATAGCTAGTGAGAGCGTAGGCAGCTGCAGACTCTACGAAGTTGTTCTGAGCGCGTAGGAAACCCTCGCTGTTCGGAGGGCCATGCTCTAACTCCAGCCACGCGCGAAGTGTCTTGCCCGACTGTTTCTTAATTTGATGCAGTGACACTGAGTTTAAAACCTGTCAAAAAATGAGTTTTTTAAAACTTTAAAAGAAGTATTAGTCGATTTTATCACTATTGTTACAATTAATCACAATTGATACAATTAGCATTCTTGATGCAACAAAAATATGATGAATAATTTTCTGATAGATCAATTAAACTTCTTTTTAAAAAGAGCTAATTCTGAAAGAATTTCTGATTAATTTCTAGCATTATCTTCTCCGGTCTTTCAGATCATAATGCTTTCAAATAAGGTGATATATAATATATGGTAAATGTGAATTGTGATGCAGACAAAGTTGCGCGGGTCAGATAGTGAAAAAGTAAAATCATATCAGTCATAATCTGTCGAGCCATTACTTTGTTGTACCAAGCGTTAACTCATAAAAAAACAAAAATTCAAACCTTCGTTTTGGGCTCTATATCACACATGTAATGTACAACCTTAATTTCGTCACGACATTATTATGTACATATTACGATAATTTTATTATATGTAAAGATAACAATTGATTACTATGATTTACAAGCACAATAAACTGTATATAAATATCCATATAATTGACCGATAAAATGGTTACTTACCGGTTGTATAAGTCCGCACTCTTTATCCAAGCACAGTATTTCGTATGGATGCAACTTCAATGGCACACGTTCCTGTGCCCACACCGCCTGCAGTCTCCTGAGGAGTTGAGCGGCTAGCATCTCTTGCCGAAGATCATCTCCGACCTTCACGATGCAGCCGAGGAGTCTCCAGCCAGCCAATGCTCCGTACGGCGACGATGAACGCATTCGAGCTAATTTGCTCTCCCATGATTCCTGCAATTTTAATTTTTTTATTTTAAATGTCACACAATTTATTTATTCATTTAATTTTTTATTGAATTTTGTACAATAGGCGGGCTTAATGCTAATATCATTCTCTACTAGTCAATTTTAGGGAGTGCAGAGATACTCGAAGGGGGTTTGGTTTTATCATATTAAATATAATCATTTATTATATTAAATAGATATAAGAGTATACATATACACAATAATATACTAATTATTACATATTATGAGCATACATACATATACATATATCAATCATATTGATTTGCCCTTGAAATACTGCAAAGTATTAGTAGTGTGCAAGTAAAGAACATAGTATTGTGTCCCTGTTTAATTTATGCTTTATATAAACAAGTTGTTATAAAACAAGTGCATCCTGCGACTTCCTTTGTAGATCGTATTTATTGTCCGTGATATATCTACCACCAACAATAAATAAAGCATTTACATAACGCCATCTTTTATTTGACATCTTCCACCACCAGTAGTGCATAATTAAATAAGTTACGACCTCGGAGGTCTAGCGTTTTATTAGCATACCGTCTTACGCGAAACATTAACAAACAAACAGTCTTTTCCTTGTCACAATTTTACTATTTATATTATATGTAAAGATAAAATACGGTACAAAAGGCTATAGGCATTCACTACCAGTCAACCTTCGATAAGTGCAGAGGTACAATTTATAATTCAGAATAAATAAGGGAATATTTAGAATAAAATACATTTAAACTGGCCGTTGGTGAGAGAATCTACTGATTTATGATACTTCAGGTATCATAAATATCTATTTTTTTTTTATGAATGTATCAATAACGTCATTAATATTTTTATCATTAAAAACTTATCGACGTGACAATAAAATGCTATATAACAATATAATAGACCGGATACGATGTTATGTACGTCGAAGTCCAAACATATCATACTAGTATATACCGCGTCTACACTCGCGCGGAGCCGCCCAAGATGACTTAGGCCGCTGATATACCGTCGGCCAGTCGTCATGGTCCGAATACGAGTAATTCGCAAGAAGTCGGTGCGTGGCAACCAAATACGCCAACTGGAGTCCATCGGAACGTAAGTCAACCAAACAACAGTATAGACTAAACTTTTTTTAAAGGATGATTATGGAATAGTGCACCCGACTCGCTAACGATTTATGCTGACGAGGCACATAGAGGATGAAAGAATGAGAATGAGGTCAGGTCAGTTAGTACAGCGCGGCAAATTCACCAGGAATTTATCATGACGATTTCTAGGGAGGTACATGGACTTTGCGAGTAATAGGGTTATTAGTTCACATTGTTAGCAACCCCTCCCCGATTTTACAAAAAAAAAAAGATTAGATTTAAATAAGATATATTTATACTGCATGGCAATCAAAGTATACAACAACCTTCCAAAAGAGATTAAAGAACTGAGATCTCATACATTGTTCAAACACAAACTACAGAATTGGCTGTCACTTGGTAATTTTTATTGTCCAAGAATATTTATGTAAAACGAACACTTTCATGTCTATATGGTAAATATTGCTGATCAATAATATTTCATGTAACATCAGATTTACTCTACCAATATTTCGCATTTTAAATAAATTATTTCATTTCAAAATAATAGTTCATTTTTTTTCAACTCAAGCATTTAACCGAACAGAATCGTAGGAATAAATAATTTTATGTCATCATCATCATCATCAGCCCACTGCAGTCCACTGCTGGACATAAGCCTCTCCCAAGGCACGCCACTGGGCACGATCTTCAGCCCTTCTCATCCAGTTACTACCCGCAACCCTACGTAAGTCGTCGCTCCACCTAGCTGCGGGGCGTCCTACACTACGTTTGCCAATTCGCGGTCTCCACTCTAGAACACGCCTACTCCAGCGAGCATCGGTTCTGCGACAGATATACCAGCCCACTGCCACTTCAACTTACAGATGCGCTATGTCGGTGACCTTAGTTCTCTGGCGAATCACTTCGTTTCGGATTTTATCCCTTAGAGAAACTCCAAGCATAGCTATTTCCATAGCTCGTTGAGCGACTTTGAGTTGGTGGACCAGTCTCGATATACCGTAAGTCATGACGGGTAGGACCACTGGTTATAAACCTTGGTCTTAAGGCTTTGTGAAGACTTGACGAAGTTTCCCAAATGCCGAGTAGCTGTATTCGTTCTTGGCCTCCCTCCCAAGTTGTTTTTACCTAGTTGGAGCGTTTGCCCTAGATAAATATACTCCTGAACAACTTCGAGAGATACTCCATTAATGGCGACCGGTTCCGGACGAATGCGATCATTGAACATGATCTTGGTTTTGTCCAAATTCATCCGAAGACCGATGCGTTGAGACGATTCAGCGAGGCCGTTCAGCATCTGTTGTAAATCCTGCAGCGACTCAGCCATGATGACAATGTCGTCAGCAAATCGTAAGTGAGAGATGTTCTCGCCGCTGACATTAATGCCGTAATTTTTCCAATCCAGCATTCTAAACATATCCTCCAACGCAGTTGTAAATAATTTAGGGGATATAACATCCCCCTGTCTTACACCACGCTTTAGGTGGATATGCTTAGGCTGCTGGGTTTGTACTTGGACGGTCATTGTTGCAGCGTTATAGAGACACTCGACTTGGCATCGCTGCAGAGACTCCAGAACAGACCAGGTCTCGATAGAGTAAGGCGATTTCTCATAGTCAACAAAGGCTAGACACAGAGGTTGATTATACTCTTCTGTTTTCTGTATAACCTGCCTTACTGTGTGAATGTGATCTATGGTGCCATAACCACTTCGAAACCCGGCCTGTTCCGGGGGTTGAAACTCATCAAGCCTTCGCGCAAGCCGATTCGTGATGACTCTTGAAAATAGCTTGTATATATGGCTTAACAAAGAGATGGGCCGATAGTTCTTCAGTAGGGTTTTATCTCCCTTTTTGAAGAACAGAATAACTATGGCCCTACTCCACAGCGGTGAAGAGAACGGCAAATTCACAGGAATTTATCATGTTACGTCTTCACCTGGGGCTTTTCTGAGCTGTTTAAGAGCCATCACATGGACTAATTTTGCAGTGTAGTGGCGTGTAATGGAATCGACAACAAGAGATTCAGGCCGATATGCATGTTACAGTTCAGTCTTCATTCCGAGAGAATCTCCGGCTTAAAAGCGGTAACCGTCCCTGCAGATGTGGTTACCTTCGACAAGTGCCTCCTTTCTAGCTGTTGGACGAACACTTTTGATCCCCGATTCTGCTCAATTGCTTTTTCAATTAAAAGTGTGTTCGAGGATCGGAGATCACGTCGTACCAATTTTGAAATTTTTTTATTCAATACCCGGTGTTCTGGTGATGTTAGCGTTGAGGACTTGTCGCGTCGATGTTGAATAAGCTGCAGAGTCTCTCCCGAAAGTCTAGTCCTTTTTCCTGTACGCCTCTTCTCGCAAAATTTCGTTTCATCCTTGAAAAATCGATCAATACTGTCTGTGGTTTCCAAAACAGCAAACCGGTTTTCCAGTTTTAATTGGAATGCTTTAGAACCAATATGGTTTGGAGCATATTTGGCCGGACGTCGACTTCATCAGGCGTATTCTTTCCAGCTTGAGATCGATATTCAGAGAGCCACAACAATCTGTGATCGCTTCCGGTTTTAAACCTAGTGATCACAGAGACAGATTCCGTCAAGATGAAGTCGATCTCGTTTTTGGTCATAGCGTTGGGGCTCTGCCACGTCCACTTTCGTTGAGGTTGTTTCTTGAAGAAAGAATTCATCAAGAACAACCCCTCTTTCTCTAGAAAGTTGACGAGCATTTGCCCCCTATGATTCCTACTACCAAAACCATGTGGTCCCATAGCTGTCGATTCGCTGCCGGTTTGGATTCCCACTTTAGCATTAAAATCCCCCATAACAATGTTGTAGAATGCCTTTGAGGTGTTATGTATGGCCTTGGATATGTCTTCGTACATACTTTCTACTTCATCAACGAACGTATACTTGCACAACTTTAAGGCTATACCTCTCTAGCTTTAATACGGATAAATATTCGACACACTGATTTCAACATAATATTTCATGTAACATCATATGGCCAGATTAGTCATGGTGTCCTCCCCCTCTCTTCGGACTTCACAAAGACCAAGAATATGCCATCTTATATATTTCAGTTCTTCCAGTTGCGCGAGGTGTTCATCCAGTCGCAGTGTACGTCCGTTATACGTAGTCAGGGTCAATGAGTGTTGGCGGCCTACCGTAGCCCGGGGATTCTTAGCACCCCTTGCTCTGCCGTTACCATGACCGCCGCCTTGGCCAGGAATAGCAGAGCTTATTTCGGGAACTAGGGGCCATGGTTGTGTTGTCATGGGAGGAAATAATCGCCACGCTGGGCAGTTTCAGTTTTCTCGCACCGATGACGCTGCTGCCCATCATCAACTGTGTAGTTAGAATTACCGCCAACCGAAGCCTCGTCTGTTAGAATCGTTGACTTAGAGCACTGGGCTGGTGTTCGCGCTCCCTTACATCCCCTACACAGGGGATCCCCTAATACAATTTTATGTGCATTTAGTAAAAATATTGAAAAATTTAATAACTGTAGTAAATAATTAAACATTTATAAAAAATACAGTTCAAAATATTGGAACACAGAGATTCCATATTATAATACGTAGCAGTTGTAGGCTTCCGTCTTCTTAGAGAATATCATTATTCTAAAGTATATAACATATATGTAAGTGCGTAATGTAGTATATGCGATATGTATATCAAAGAACGCCACCAACACACTCTGACGTCACGTCTTACTTGTAGGCAGGTGTTGTTTTTAGGGTTTTGAATTCATTCAAGATTAGGCTCCATTGATCGATTGTTGGTCATAAATTGATTACTTATTATCAGGATTGCTGTAATGTTCACTTCGATCTATTGTTATATTTTATGATACCATTTTCGTACTTTTGGGGGCTATTAATACACAATAAGTATAATACTAATACACAATATTGCACTGAATAAATATTTCTTTCTTTCTTTCTTTCTTTCAATAAGTATATATTCAAGAACTTGTATACTTGAACATGTTCATGGGCATCCCAAATTACCTTGTGATATTATATCAGTTGTGTACTACCTATAACACAAGCTCTGCTTACTTTGGGAATAGATGACGTTGTGTGATTTATCCATTATACTTTTATGTATTCTTCCTTTAATGATAAGTGATAGACGTACGGGTGAAAAGCACCACATAATGACAACTATAAAAGATTATAAAAGATAGATTATGATGACGACTAATATTTTTTAAATGAAAGTCAATAATTTGTGGACAATTCTATAGGTATTTAGTATTACTGCTTTTTGGACAAGTATGAAGGTAAGTGGGTGAAGTTGTGTCATGTGTTTGAATGACACATGCAGACAAGATAATAATCGGGAGAGTTTTCACAGTCTCACTTCTATCTGCCATTGTTTATTTAGTTTTATTGCCATTTTTTCCGTATGTGTAGATAGAAGATTATATGTGTTTCGTGTTACAATATCTATAAGATAAACTATTTTATTTTTCTTATCATGTAGTATTATATCTGGTCTGTTGTGATTTACAGTTTTGTCTGTTATTATAGTCCTATCCCAATACAACCTGTAAACGGGAAAGTCTAGGAGGTACTATCTGCGGGATGTATTTATATTAAGCTATTTATTCGGTGATTAACTGACATTTAGCATGTACCATGTCAGGTTGACCTCCACGCGGTTCCTCCTGGAAATCATCATTTTCGATGAATTTATCACAATGGGCTAACATCATACTAGTGTCCCGTCTGCGTAAATCGTTAGCGCAGGCGGGTGCAGCATTCTATTATCATCCATAAAAAAAAACACTAATTACCTTGAGCGCCGTGGCTGATGGATCAGCTGGGTCATGCTTGAACGCATTGGGCGGGGGAGCTGCGGTGGCGTCCGCGAGTCTCCTCCTAACTTCGCCGGCCCCGACCGCGACTGACTCCCGCGACCCACATGACGATGTTGACAATGCCGATATCGCTGATACCTATAACAAAATGAATAAATGAATCTATTGTTCCTCTAACAGAAAATACAGTTATATAAAAATGTATATATACAAATGATATTAATGTTTTTGTAGAAAACATCTAACTTAAAATTCATAGCTTCATAATTCGCTGACAATGTTATGATTGGAACGGATTGAACAAAGATTGAGTGCGTAGCGGTTTCTATGTTGATTGTCGCATGTCTAATCCTTCTTAATGTAAATCTACTTAAAACAACTTTTATTTAAAAGAGCAACACACAAGTTCCTTTCTCATTTTTCTTGTGATGAGTCTGCGTTCCGAATGAGTTGTAAAATAAAAAAATGTGACTTTTTAAAAGTGCTTATATTTAGTTTATTTGAATAAAGATTATTTCTATCTATAAATGAAAACACAATAATAAACACAAAATAAAGAGGTATAAAGTGCCTTATCGCTAATAAGCGATCCCTTCCAGGCACCTTAGGATAGAGAGAAATGATTAGATTTGCGTCTGGTAGAGTTGTAACTATGGTAACAATATTGGAAGAAATGTAAAAAAAAAATATTACTGTCTACTATAACTTTTTTTTCTAAATCTATCTAAATATATTTTTCAATACAGCTTGTAAGTAATGATAATAAATTATTCATAATCGATTTATACACTATAAACCTACGGATATTGTTTATTTTAATTAATTATGTATCAATGAAGTTTAATACTATTTTATCATGATTGGGAGTGTGGCAGCCGGTATTTACGTATGTGTTCAATTATTCCTAATACCACAACATAAAATATAATACTACAATAAAAATATTATCATCGGTCAATCAATACAAAGCCATAGAAGGTAGCATCCGCCCTGTCACTCAATTCAGGGCCGACCTTAATTCGTCAAAAAACCATTACAAACTACATTCCTTGGACTTAATTAATTAAATACTTTGAAAAGAGAATAAATTAATTTTAGTAATGTTTTTTCTTTGGAGGTTTAATAATGATGGCAAATAAACATCCTGTTGTTCATTTGAGGCTCCATCCGCCTCTTAATTATCACAAACTAATACAGATTGGCAATATTTAAATTACAAAGTAAAAACAAAATAAAATCAGTCATTCTAAATACAATCAAGCAACATAGGCATTTTCAAATAATTATATTATAGATGCCTACAATACTGCCAGTGTAAATCGTCATCGTCAGGTGGGTGCACCATTATCATACGATAAAAATATATAGCCCACTGTCGTACGAACAATAAAAAAAACAATGTGATGTGGTGATGAGTCCACATAGTACGGGAAATGCCAGCACTAATATTAATTTCCGATTCTAATTAATTAACATTGATTACTGTTTACAATACGCTTGTCTGTACGTACGTCAAAAGGTATTTACCTACTAATTCCATTATAATATGTCATTAGAATTAATTTGCATACACATGTGAGGTCGATCTTAACAGATTGGTCTTATACGAATATCTCCATTATTTATAACATTAAATAAATTTGTGGTCAATAAATTAGTACATAGTAAGTACTATCCTATACCTTCTTATTATAATAAACTGAATGGTCATTTTTTAAGTGTGAAATGGTTGTTTAATACTTATTGGCCTTCTTTTACATCCTGTCATTGATAACATTGGTTCAATCCCATTCATACATTAGATACGACCAATACATTTTATGCATATAGGTAAGGTATTTTATAAACAAAATACAATTAACTATACATAAAAAAATTATGATGGAAAGTGGTAACAGTGTATATATAGATGGGGTACCATGGGCATTACGTAATGCATTGTGACGCCAGTTCTAACCCAGATAAGTTGCGAAGGTCTAAGCAGTTATACCTACCATTTTATTTGCTTATTCTGTACAGTACTGCTGACCGTACCTTGCCTTTACAGCTTGACTGAATGAAAATACGGGCGAGTTCGAAATGCACTTTAAAACTGCTAAAGGACTTATGAATACGACATTATTCTGAGGTTGACGGATCAGACCGTCTTAATACAAATTCCCGCTCAATGGAGCCATCTACAACCTTGGCATTACTTTGGTTAGACCTAATATAATGTAATGTAATGTAACCTAATATAGTGTAATGTAACTGAAAAGTTCTAGGGGCCCCAATCATATAACACAGTGGATGGATGTACGAAATGACAATTGTCCTCGGCATTTATTCGCGTCAAAGGCGGCTGGTTGATTGTGACTACACGTGTACTAAAACGTGAATAATCAGAGTGGCGGAAACGCAGGCGCGAGCATGGGGCGCCGTGATATATGTAAATGATCTACTAATTTACTAGTATAGTGTTTTTAATATAGAATGAGAAATTAAATATGTAATACTTGACTCAATAACTAAAAATAGTAATGTTATTTTAACAAATCCAGTGCATTTTAGTATGAAATATTAATAGTATTCATTGATTTTTAGAAGTTATAATATATTGTTTATATTTTGTGAATAAAGATTATTTTATATTGTATTAGATATATACATATCTCACAATCTTACATAACCGCATAATTTAAAAATAAAGATTTTTAAATAAAATTATTGATAAAAAATAACAAGCACTGCAGCATGAACGTGATAGGTAATAAATAATAATGGCTGCCTGGTTGGCTCTGGTTTTGTCTCCTGACTAGCTATAATTACAAAGTGGCAACAATAAAGCAATTTATAGGACTAAGGCATTCATTTCAATTATGAAAATAGAATATAAAAACATTACGATATTTTTAGTCACATATTTTTAATATGAAACCTTATTTATTACATAAACATAAATATTACCTGTTTTAATTACCGTAATAAATAAATAATAGGTAGCATAAATTTTATAGCAATTTTTAATTTGAAAGTAGGCATACCAGTTTTATTTTCGTTTAAATTTGCATAAAAAAATAATATGTTATAATACCTATTTAGTAATTTTGTTTTCCAAAACTAATTTTATATTTGATCGGAGCACATGATCAAAAAGTTCCGTTCCATCTATGCTTTATGGCGCTCGTGATATCACAGAGAAGTCAATAAACTATCAGTGAACTCATACTATTTATGATGTAGTGTTTTGATCTTGTGTTATATTTTATTATATTCGAAATTTTATTAAATTTGTATATAACACAATTACTTGTTGTTGTTTTAGATATTAATAAATGTTGCTAACATACTTACTTATAAAATATTATAAATATGAATTTAATTTAGGCTTGAGAAATATATATGTAAGATACAGCATGAAAAAGAAAATTTTGAGGATAAGCGATCAGTTCATTTGACAAATTAATATAATTTATCCAGCCCTTACAAACCTAATAAAAAGTATATTCTGTATCATGTAATTTTTGAATAATCAAATGAGACCACTAATTTCTGTATAAATTCTTTTAAACAGAGCTCAACAAAACTTGAAGCCATTACAAAAATTGAAAATAACACTTTTATGTAGCCCCAATTCAACATTAAAGGCGAGATAAAATCCCCCTTGAGCAACTACGTTCGCAACCTACTTCTTAGACTTCCAGCATGCGTACGATCGTTAAAATCAACTTTTTTGCTTACTCCAGATTTTCCAGACGTACACGTACCATGTTTTATGTCGTCAAGACCTTGAGAAACGGAATCATACAAACAAACGCGTGGGCTGTAACGAGTTACGTGTTGCCCATATATTTATGCAATGTTATACGGGAAAGAAAATGTACACACGTGTAATATTAGAAAGTGTGTAGGTATAACTTTCTAGTCATATTTCTAGCTCTTTACAATAAAATATTCGCATGCAAAATTCGCGTGTAAATATTTAGGAGGTCATCGCGCGAACATCACTTACTAATCGCTTACTCAATGCTATGTCACATACCTTAAAGAAATAAGTAATGTTTAGAATCAATATGAAATACATTTACTGTATTTAAATGTATTCTCAACTATATGCAGATAATCATGATGGACACTGGCGTTTCTATAAAGCACCAACTAAATGGCTAAACGACCATATTAAAAAATAGTGTTTTTTTTTTTAATATATTTTCCTAGACCTCGTATAAATATTCAGACCAATCAGGACTGTCACATATAACATTAATATAAAATTTCATTCAGCATACACGTGTACCTCGTGATAATATAGTTACTATATTCAGACACGTATTTAGACGAACCCTAGGGAAACCATTTTAGTTTCCCTAGGACTCGTCATCAGTAATATTATAATACAAAATTAGTGAAAAATTACATACACGTGTTTGTGTAATTTCACATTTGCTACAAGGAAACTTTAGTCTCCACGGACAAAACGTGCCTCGTTTATTTATTCCTTGTAGAGCATTTAGCCATAGCATTTACAAAACTACATTAACTGCGAGTAGCAACTATTTTACATAATTTTATTTAAAAAATAGAAATCCTTACAATAACCAGATCCGTGTAAATCCGGGTTAGTTAGTATTACTAATATTACAAACGCGAATTTTTGTGAGTATGGATGGATAGATGTTTGTTACTCTTTCACGAGAAAACTACTAAACGGATTTCGATGAAACTTTACAATATGATATATATCAAAATAACACATAGACTATAATTTTAAAATATATTAAGTAAATTGCGTGAAATATAATGATAAATGTCAAGTAAGTGTGATACAGACGAAGAAGCGCGAGTCAAGTATAGTTTTAAAAAAACGTGACGTACTAACCTGTGATAAACTATCGGGGGCCGGTGCTCTATTAGCATACTGCGTGCTCAGTTCCTCATCATCATGGCTCCAGCAATCACCAGCGTCTACATCATCCAGAGCCGAGTACAACGACCATACTGGCCATTCCGGTACCAGGTTCTCTTCACTCTTCGTATGCCGTATGGGGGGCGAGTGAGGAGCGGGGGGTGCGGGTGGCAGGAGACGAGGTGGCAGCGGTTCATGTCCATCTGTCTCTAACACCTCCACATACATAATGTATGGCGCCTGTGGAGTGAGCAATCAGTCATTAAAACTTATAGGTACACAAATTATTTATTTGCATTATACAACAAAATAATACAGTAAAAATATGTATTTTTATACTAATATAATATTATGAATATAACAATATACGCGGCAAATGATAAACAATACATATATGTACATAAAATAGTTGAATTTTTAAACCGCAATAGCACTATTTAAATCTAATTAACAATTATTATTTACAATAATGTGGTTATTAAATAAAATTTCATTTCATGTTTAGTTTAAACTATATCATCGTAATTCGTATAATCTGCAATAGCATTAAAATAATAAAAAAAAACACTGGTTATGTATGTATGTAGGTGACAATTGCAGTTGCGAACCGTACACGTACAACTTTGTACAAATCTGCCTGTTAAATAATAAGAATAGTAGTTTATATATAACGGAAATCTTACAAGTTCAATCATTTTCAAATGAGAAATAATTACCACAGCGTACACATTCAGACCATCGATTATTCTACGGATGCATTGCAAAAGCAACAGATTTACCATATTACATTACAAGAAAGCTTGTAGTATCATTATGTGAACTAGGCCGTAGAAAATTTCTTTACAATTGCACACGATAAATATAAAATTTGTATGGGGAATCAACATAGAAATATTACTCGATCACTATACTTTATTGTGAATGAAACAAGTCGTGTGTACCATAATAAAGTAGAGCAATGAACACGAATTTACAATTTCGTAACTTTAATTCTAATTGCTGGTATGCGTTTGATAAATCCTTGAAACGTTCTCGCATTATTCTTAATTTTGTTTCGAATCGTTAACGGTTATAAGTACGATAAAAAAAATCAGTAAGTTGTGGCCATTAATGACATCCGTATGACCCACTTCAATTCTAGCCACTCTGTTAATTGAATAAGGTTGTAATAGAACCGATTGTACATGCATTGCATTCTACTCGGACGTATTATCGCGATTGGATTGGATATTAATCTAGAGGTCGAATTCGCCACGATATATGCGTTTATCTCATTACCAGATCTATTTGGAAATCCAACGTATGTGTGATCTTGAATATGAATGTATCTATGAATTACAAAAAATGCTATTTCAATTGTCACTTCCCCTCAATTCTATACATGATTAAAAAAAAAATTGTGTTCTTTCAGACCTATTTACTTACATATCTTCATTATTATACGCATATGCACCATAATACTATGTACGTTAAAAGGATGTTTACATGGAACAGCGATCAAAACTTAACTTAAAACAACTTAAGTAATTCAATTACTTACATTAAACAAGCTGACTGTAAATGGCAACCATCGCCTATGTACATAAACAGCACTACGGACATCACGTTATCATGATGTCCGTGATACAACCGAACGATCTACTCTACTCTTATCCTAATGTTACTACCTTATCTCGCATTTCAACTAAAACACATCTTACAAAGCAAGCTTGGTGGCTGAATTACATAGATGACACTGAGGTAGCACGCAGATGACTTTTTACAAAGTCTACCTTGATATTTTACACATAAAAATCTACTCATGCTTTGGGTATGACATAAATAACCTTTACAAATTACTACATACTTTTCTGAATACCAAAATAGCTGCACATTATTTAATTCCAACAACAAAGTTACCAAGTAACCTACATTTCTCAGAAACGATCGTTTTAAAACAGAAAAGGACACTATTTCAATAGAAAAAGCAACAAACGGCGACTCGTGCACCGTATTGATTGTATTACTAAGGAAGTATCACAATAGTTATAACTAATTATTGAAACGCCAAAACAACGCTATTGGCGTTTTGAGGTTACAATACAATTCTTTTCAGACCAATATTCCAATTCGGCTTAACGAGGAAAGCCATTTACAGGTATTTGAAGAAACGGCGTGTATATTAAACGACTCCAGTACATAAATGACATTACAAATTCCATGCATTCTATATTACAAAGAGCGCTCGGCAATGGAGAAATACATACCAAATGTTGCTATTATTTCAGCCTTTAAATCCTATAATATGAGGATTATTTCATCATATTTTACTTTAGTGCAATATTATCCAGGATCTATTAGTTATCTGTACTAATATTATAAAGACGAATGACTTGTATTTTTCAACGAACAAACGAAAACAATGAGACCTATTTCAAAAATTCTTTTATATTTGAATTAGAATACTATCCCTGACTAACTAAAATAGCTATATTTATAGTTTATATAGAGAAGGACCGCAGAAGGCCAATAATTTTTAATAATTATACCAAAACATACATACATAAACATACATTCAATCAATAAAAAAACATTACACACACTACGATTTATTTGACACATACACACATATACTATTTTGTTTAATATGGCTGGTTCAAAGATCTTTTGGAATTTTTTATTATGTTCTAATTTCGTTCATTGGTCGGCCACTAATACTAGTAGTTATCTATAAAGCGGATATCCATACCTTGTCCTTGCTGTTAAGGACGGCTGCAGCATGCGGCGGTATCCTGAGCACGTAGTGAGGCCGCTGATGCAGCGGTAGCCACACTCGCGCGGGCAGGTTCAGATCCAACGTCGCCAGTTCGGCCCGTAGCCGGCCATTACGCCGCTCCTTATCAGCCACGCCGGCGAGACGTCGACCGATATTTGTGAGCGATGACAGGAACTGCAATCATAATAATAGATTAGAATAGGAAGAGTGAATCGTTTGTAAATTGAGGTCTATCTAAACTAATGTTAGAAAGTGAAGAGATATGATTCTTTAGTATGTATAACTCTAACTAATAAATAAACAATGAATCGGTATCAAAATTGCTTTGACAAATTGATTATGTTAAAACGACATCCTTATAATAATTACTCTCATGCGAAGTCAGAGTCTAGTGTCGAATAAAATCTTACTCAATTCAATTATTTTTAAAGGCCAAGATACATTAAACGAGCAAATACTGCCCCTACTCCTACTATTACTATTTAGTGTAAATGTGCTAAGAACATTCTAAGAATTTACTGATAGTTTTCTTGGGTTGCGCAAATCCAATTACAACCATTTTGTGTGTTGTTAGTCTCGTAATTTTGGTCTAAAACTATCTGGATTTAATTTAGTTTTTAGTTTGTACTCTGAGTCTAACTCCAACGCAGAACGTATGTTAAATTAAGAGGCAAACATGAAAAATACATTTGTTAAATGAAACACAAAGTGTTTTCATTTTTAATAAGTACCTTTAAATTTTTGTACTCTGTTTAACCACCTGTCTATCATTTGTCACGTCAGGCCGTCAGATGCCTCCTTAGAAAATAAGGTTTCGAAACAATGTTGCAAGAAATAATTATTCTAATTAAATGCTAAAACGCATTTGACCGTGGTAGCTAATATTCCCATACCAATTTACGCACTGATCATTTGTTCATAAATACTTGAAATAACTTCCTTTTGACCTAGAATATTGAAATTTAGCATTCACGCTACATTGGCTACTATAAAATACTTGTACTCTAATACTCTCAGTGTACAGAGGCTAGATTATTAATTCTGTAAGTCCATAATCGTTTGAAACATAAAAAATAGCAATGGAAAAAGCAATAATAAAATTTGATTACGCTATTGACATGTGTTTCGTAGATTTTTCCAATCTTAAAGTTGAGTAAGGCCGACCTTACATTCTCATACTGATCCACCTATCCATCCATATACATGTCAACTTTTTAAGATTCGTCAGAACGATCTTTTAAAAAGACATAACTATAAAAATTCAATGCGAAAAAATACAATAGCAAACGTAAACGTAATATAATTATTATGTTTACGTCATAATCCTTAAAAGTAAACATATTAATATTCTGTCGCGTCTTTACAGCGATAGAAAATAATTTAATAAATATTATTATAATACATGAGCTGTGTTATCTAATGTATATTTATAATACCTACTTTATACTGACGGTAGATAAAACTGACTTTCATTACAAGTCGTGATAGTAATGTAAATTAATACATACGAAAGTATGAAATATTAGATATCAACATATACATTGCGTGTCAGAGATTGTGAGTTAATATATCTTAACATTTGATATCTAGTATCACACGTTGTACGTAGATACGCTATATTTAGTTACGTAAGTAATTTTTACTTTTATACTTAAAAAAAAAGTAATAAAATTTTTAAATTATGCGGACGGAGGAGGACGACGGACGGACCACAACAAAAACTGTAGAAAGTAAAAACCTTTTGACCTTGTCGATATCTTTTGTGGCTAAGATCTATACCATCAACTCAACTTTCAAAGATAAAAATCGCATCAAAATCAGCACATTTCTTTAGGAGTTACGATGCATACACACAAAAATACAGACACGGCAAACTAACTAAATAACACTTTCCCCTCTTTTTCTAATAGGGTTCCAAAAATATCTATAGAAGTTGATACCTATGTTACCGTGTGACAATATTGTAACATACACAATAATTTTAACCATTGGTCTGCATATGGATGCAATTGTGATTATATAGACATTGTATACATATCATATATATATCATACATATCAGATTTTAGATATATTATACAACGGTCTCGATGGTCTAGTGGTTTAACTCCGAATGTCACGGTTTCTCTCACGGTACCAACATTTGTAATCATGAGTTTGTATTGGTCTGGGTGTTTTCTAGCATTTACAAAAGAAATGTAATAGTATATCTATCAGATGTACTAGAGTGTGCACTAGAGTTCATAAGTTCTGCTTAGTTTGGGACTAGATGATTTCTTTGAACAATTGTTCGTACAAACCGCTAGCAGCTTGAGCTACGGTGTGAAACATGAGATATTGAAGAAGAAAAATATTTATTATATATATTGCAGTGAAATTACGATTTTTTGATATAGCATAGGGGACAAACGGCTCACCTGATGGTAAGTGATTGCCTCCGCCTATGATATGGTAAGTGATTGCACCCGCAACACCAGGCGAATTGCAAAGAATAAGCTCTTTTTAAGGTTTCAATATCGTATCGGTTCGGAAATACCTTTGCTGGAAGGTGATTCCACATTGTGGTTGTGTGTGGAAATACGTTTCTAGAAAAACGTACGGTTGAGGTCCGTCATTCATACAGATGAATAGAATGGCATTTTAATTTATAGCGGGCAGTGCGATGGGGAAATTCAGCAGCTGGTATTAATATAAACAATTGCTCAGAACCCTCTCTGTGATATATGCATTATAAAATGCACAGAGATGCAATCTCGCCGCAAAGCCAATTAGTCTATCACCACGCGGAGACAAGAACTATTTTATCTTTTGTCACTTCCCACCTGGTTATCGATCATTCTTATACGATTATAATTTCTTAAAAAAAATCTGTTTTGTGCGCTATAATACATAATAAACAAAACACCTACGTATAGGTCTGCTGTGAACTTTACAAATCAATCAACGCTGGTAATATCAGAATATACACCACTATCGGTACCATCTAAAAGTGGATGAACCTTAATTCATGACCGAACCAAATGGACCAAGGACTCCCACATTATCTATTATATTATGTTGTTTCGTTATTATTCATATCTCTATTGTTATGGTATTATATGAATATTATGATTACATATACGAGTATATCAGTTACCTATTATGTTTTGTTCTGCATAAGCATTGGACTAACTTTTAAACTTAATAGTTGAATATTCACGTTCATGATAGACAAACATTGTTTACTTTTTTAAATATGAATGTACACACATTCGGTAATTCCTATTACATTTCATAATATATATTGTGATACTGGACCGAGACATACGGTTTAGTTTTTCAAATATACATATATATACATTAGTAGTCGAAAGTGACGATTAACTTTGGAGATAAAGGTGTGAGTATAATATTAAATTTATATGCACATAAAATTTCTATTGCATATTTTAAATTTACTTGTTGGTCAGTGGCCTACTTGATACAATATTAGAACAAAAATTCGAAATTTCGAAGAAACAAAATTGTGACACAATAAAAACAATCGTAAGCAAAATTCTAAGTAATTACCATATATTATCAACTATAATCAAGGTAATATGAGACTGGTATAAATAATTACTTACATAAATATATCAATTAATTTATTTCTGAGGTGGCAAACGATTTACAACTAACAAGCATTATAGCGGTCGGTCATTGACACCATATACGAAATAATCTCCGTGTCCAGTTTTCCACTCCCCTATGGGAGAAGGCGCGCCCCCAACTTATTATTACTATTATAAACAACAATATAAATATGACTAAAGAGGTCACGGCTGTTTAGCTATATTATACCTTTAAGGGGCCATCCACAAATTAGCTAACATGAATTTCATTGTTTGTCCCCTACCCCATCCTTGTCACAGTTGGTCCCGTTTGTGAGACCCCCTTCCTAACATGAAAATATTAAGTTTATCATTTATAGTTTATTAGTTAAAATTTTGTGTTTTAATTATAGAATTTCAAATGTGACGTCGCGAAGTTTACGACCCCCATTGGCCCTTGTCACACTGTGACACACTTTGTCGACCCTCTCACCCTTTTTCGATAAATGGTGTAAATTATGGATGGCCCCTAATCGCTCGTAGGTTTGAATCTAAAGGGTGCGTGGCCTGTTGGTCATGTCCTAATTTTGTAACCAAGCACTGTAACAATTCAGCGCAGACACATTGACGCCGCACCTCGGAGGGTGGCAAACTATAGGCTTTATCACTATGCGGAAAATAAAGCTGTTTTAATGGCTATATTTTAGTTCACATAAAGGTCAAGGGTCTGTTCATTATATGCTGGATTAAGATAATTGTCTCATAAACTTCATAAACTGTATTATATAGAAGATAGAACTTTATATCTACGGCACTACTACGGGGTATTTCAAGAGATAGAGCTTTATAAAGACAAACACAAAGAATACAGTAAAATAAAAAAATACAAAACATATACATACAGAAATATAAGAATTTATACATTCAAATTCAAACGGATATTATAAAACTAAATTCCTCATCGCGTACATGATCCTACTCAAAAACTAAAAGAATTTAAATGCGGTTTTTATACATCAACAGTAAATTCTGAGGAAAGTTGAGGTTTTCGTTTCATTCATTCATTAAAATATCTGTCTGAAGCCGGGATGGGTGTCTAGTTATAATAATATGCAAGCAACGCAGTGAGTGAGTATCCCTTTTATACAAAATAGAAGCACCTTACTACATTGTTTGCTCAAGTATTCGACTATTGATTTTCAGGTAGCACAATCACAGTAACATTGATGAACATTTAACAACATCGTCTGAAAATTTCACACTAAATCGGCCACTTATTTTCTTTATCTTAACACAAAACAGATAAACAGACGGTTTTCACCTCGTCAGGATTTTATAATATGTACAGGAGATAATAAAGATAGTAGAAAATGTTTTAGATACGCCTTCGAATCTCCGCAGCATACATATCAGGTATTTTTGAAAGTTTATCAATAAAAGTGTAAGCCAACTTTGGATACCAATTTTAGTCCAATTACAATGGATTACGTCCTTTCGCATCTTATTATATTCCTGAATTTTAGGACCTAAAATAATAAGTGTTAAGATGAAGAAAATAAGTGGCCGATTTAGTGTGACATTTTCAGACGATGTTGTTAAATGTTCATCAATGTTACTATGATTAACAATATGTATCATTGTGTAACATTACGTTACCTGAAAATCAGTAGTCGAATACTTGAGCAAACAATGTAGTAAGGTGCTTCTATTTTGTATAACAGGTGCGTTCCACGCGAAATAGGGAATCAGATTTTCAGATTTTCAAAGACTCGTCGACATTTTTATAGATTTATTGGGTTTAGTTTTGATTACGTTTGAAAAAAAACATTACGAAAATGGTTTAGATTGCAATAGATATTGAGATTAGAGTTCAGATCAGAGTATAAGATTTGGTGCGACTGGACTAAGATCATACATAACATTGAGCCCGACTCTATATAAGCTGAAAACCTTGATGAATAATAACAAAACAAATTGACTGATATATAAAATTCTGCACTGCCGTTGAAGTAATTAAAGGATTCGTGAATAAAATATATAAAAACCCAAACACCATCAAATCCATAACAATCCAAATCAATGTTATAAATATAAATGTTACTGTCTGTTTGTATGTTACCTTTTCACAAATAAACGGCTACGGCTAAATGGACCTTAATGAAATTTGACGTGAAGACATATTGTATTGTATGTTGGACTCTATTTCCTTTAGCCTTTCGTTTGGGCCGTAAATATATTGTATCAAGAGGACAGACCTAGGCCATCTTTTATATCAAAAATAGCAAACTATGTCGTTGTTATAAGTAAACATAAAATTATGAATATAGACATGTGTAAGTTGGCAACACTCTTTCTGTTGCTATACTTTGTACTTATGATTTTACAATTTCCTTTACTTGAATATTCCATCTCATTATTATACGATAATGTGAACCATATGCGACGCAATAATACACTAATATAAATATAGCCACATATGTTAGATAGACTCAGTTAGTGATAACAACACGAATAGTAGGTATTATGACATTGCGAATACAAGAATTCGGGCCTATTTATAGCGGAATTCCGGAAAAAATGTTAAATTACTAGTCATGATTTAAACTCCTTAAACCTTAAAATATGCGGCACTTGATACTAAATTATATAATCAACTGGAATTTTTCCTTTATAAGATACTAGCTGCAAACCGTGGATCTGTCAGCGTAGAATATGCCTGTGTACATAGAGCAAAGAATTTTTCGTATCGATCCCAAATTATACCATAAAGAAACGACCACACAAATACAAATAATCAAATCTTTCCTTGTTATAATCAAAAATAGATACCTACATTAAAAACCCGCCCAATATTTAGAAGAGAATACGGATAGACAGGAAAATACATAAAAGAAAAACCCCCGCTACGTGCCGACAGCTAGGCCCGGTTTTAGATAATGACATACACAATGATTGCAAATAATGGTATTGGAGTTTGTTATTTGTTAGCCACAAATTACAGGCAAAGTCTATAACTGCGACGGCAAAACAATAAAATTAGAGCTACAATTTTTGTAAACAGTATGCGACTAATTTCAGTTAAGCTTGCGCTAAAATTACATACTTACATAAAAGCATTCATTACTATTTTATTGGCGGCCGGTTTTATTTAGTGAATCAATTCCAGTTTCAATTGATTTATGAAAGGAAGTACTGTAACTTGTTTTGAATTTTGTAGTTATCTCCGTAAACATACTAGAAAACTCTTTTATATTTTTATACTTTAGATGGCAAAATAAAAAGTTCAAAAACAAAAAAAGAAACGACAGACAATACAGTATTTATAATTTAGTAAAAGTGCGTCATTGCTACTATAAAAACTAAGATTTAGATATCTCTCCATTATCATTTGTACAGTACTTTGAAATTTATGATTATATTCAGTTATTTACTTATTTCGTTATCAATATTATCAACGCTATCACAATAATTATCATTGAGAAGACAATTTTACTGCAGTTAATCCTATTAATATAAAAACGCGACAGTTTCTGAGGATGAAATTTAACTACTGGACAGATTCGAATAAAATTAGGTACACAGACAGATCATATCATAGACTACTACATACTATAGAATATTCTAGTAATGCTAGTAATGCTAATAGCTAATGCATGATAAGAAATGTAAAAGCAAGTAATGACACTTACTTGAGTTTGGGGAGCTAATCTTGGTGCACCACACGAACATTGTTCTCCACAAAGGCACCCATTATCAAACGCACGTCCAGAAGCTAGATCACCTAAATGTCTCGCTGTTGGCGTCGCCAGCCTCAACGCGGAAGCGTCAGACTGTGACCTGTGATGACCTCTCCTCGCTGCCGGTCTTATCTCTTCAGCCAATATGGAGTCTCTCAATTTTGTAGCCTTAGACCGTTTTGCATCACCACCGAATGCAGTCAGCAACCACGCTAACCGCAGCGAAAACTCAGCACTTTGTTTACACCTGTGCACCAAATACGGTCTAAGCACGTCCGCTACATCGCCCATTTCTATGTACATCGTCGCCAATTGGGGCAGGTAGAAGTCGACGTCGTCGTGAGGGAATGAGAACAATTTGTTGGCCAAGTACGTTTGTACGCCGGGCTCTTTTGAGTTAAAAAGATATGAGATCGCCATGCTCATGTCGAATAGTTTACTTTCGAATAGCCGTAATAGAAAGTCTTTGTTTTTCGACGTGTCCGCGGCAGAAACTTCCGATTTGGTAGGAGGGTCGACAATTGTGTCAGGTGGATCTGGTGGTCTTTCTGTGTCTTCTGGATTTCCTGAATCGAGACTTTCCCTGGATCTCGCGGCAGCGGGTGGCTGTGGCCTCTCTTCATCGGCGCCATCGGGCGGTGTGTGAATTCCAGAATCATCTGAACCAGCTGGAACTTCAGGTGGTAAAGCCAACCTGGGCGCGGGAACCTCGATTGGAATCCGGAGTGGTGCGCCTTCCGGCGATGTCGGTGTCATGTCCTCTGGTATCCTTTGAAGAACAGAGTCCAAGGATCTGTTTCTTTGGTGACCGCATCCTGCCGGCGGCCCGCCTGCACCCGTCACATGTCTATGGACAAAAAAATACCATTTATACTTCACAATATTAACACGTAACTAGTCTTCAAGGTAGACAATATGAATCGCTATTTACTTTTACGATTACGTACTTATAAAATGGATCTTCATAATGCCGTATACCGACAACAATGATTTTCCTGACCATTTGGTCAATAACAACAGTAACTCCAAAATTCAAACACTGATTTAACACGACACGTTATTTAATTAATCCCTCACTGAAACATGGTGGCTACGCTTGAGCACCATTCGATGTTAGAAGTTAGAACAATGCGAACAGCCACGCAATATAGCATTACGAGTAATTAAACACCGGACGTGGTATCGGCACGTATACGTCCAACAGCGCGGCTGGCGTACAGCAGACTGCTTTACGCAACCGTGCAGGCACGCCGCCTCGCATACCATTCGAATAAGGATCACCTCGATTACGCAGCCAAAACTCAACTACGAAACAGTAGTAAACAATGCTCTTAGCGGGCCAAAGATTTACCCAAGCGGGTTGACGGTATCAGTTCAACAACTACAACAATGTGTTAATCTTTATTGAGGACGTGGAACTTTATTTTTATTTGCTGTCTTATGGAGTTAGAGCCGCTCCACTTGTACAAACAGACGTAATACATATGGTAGGAGCATTATAAAGAAATAAGAGAAACGTGCAAAATTTTTATGTATTTACCAACATAGCAAAGTTGCTATTTTATGACGATATGAATTCGTGCGAATAATATCAAAGAACCTACAAGCCATATTATAAACGATTTGAATTCATTGGATGATTTCAAAAGCCGTTCCTTATTGAAGTGCAACGTGCAGGTATTAGTTATTAACAGGAATAATATTCCTACTACATATGAGTGTGTGTATGTGTACTTCATAGAACTGTTCATTCTGATAATTTAAATCTTAGTAGTATTTTGTTCACGATTTCGGCGTATAACCATAATTTACCAAAACAAAAAGTAGCCTGTCTTTTTCCACTCTAAATGATTCGTATATGACAAATTTTATGACTGTTGATTATTCCATTAAGGAGTGAAAGCATACATACAAACAAATTCACTTTCGAATTTATCATATTAAATACTCTTACGACTAATGCATTTTTTATTTATGTGTAGTCTTGCAATACCCGTTATAGGTTAGGAATAATGTAATTAGATCAACACTAGTTCCTATCGGGTATTTAAAACTGCAAAATGCAAATATGATAATGGTAATGCAATCCCCTCACACAGTTGCAGTCATGTTTATTAATGACCTCGTATTTGTACCACGTTTACGATAGACAGCAAGCAGATAGGTACCATGACATAACGTTTACACATTCCAGCATCTTGGAGAAAGCGGCCGACGACCCCGAATAGTTTTATCACCACTTAAACTATCAATTACAAAGATCCACCCAACACAACACCACTGCCAGAAGCGCACCTAACACAACCGTCTATTCATTCATCCAAGAAAGTATATGAGTGGATGTGCGTGTAACAGGGTTGTCATTCATACAAATTTCCTCAACGGGTACGAGATTATAGGTAGGAGGTCAACTTCATGCTCGTACAAATTTTTACCTTTCATGAGCAAATTTCTCACTACTACCGAATTTTGTACTGTAACATGAATACAAGATTTGAATTTATTTAATAATTGTGTTGTCACTTTGATATATATATAGTCTATCTAGTCTAGAAACACAATATCCTAATTGTATCGGAAACTATACCGCTTAAATCAAAATTTAAATATATTATTATCTTTAAGTTAGTCAACCCTAGATATACGTATAGTGAGCAGTCAAAGAGCATTCCATACATATTGTGAGTGGTGAACGAATTAACATTGTTTATTTTCGGAACGTTATCGAGAATAGTGCATATGTTGCGTCCCGCTTAACAGATGTGTCGATGATGAACTAACGGTACTGGCGCAACGAAAGAGTGAACGCATTTATCGGAGTCTGTTTAAACACTATTTACTATCACTACTGTATATTGTTGAATAGAGTTAATAGTCTGCGAAAAACAAGTTTATAAAATACAACTTTCTAATATTGTTATTTATTAAATTACATAGTTTACTAGGAATAAATAAAATATTTAGAAAAAATATTATTGAACCGTTATCAAATTAATACGTGTATAAATAAATAAATTTAATTCTGAATGATGGGTTACTTAATTAAAAGCAATATTTACACAGATTACTAACAAGATTGAACAGCTTTGAGAAATAGCAGATAATACACAAAAGCTTAAATAAAACCTGAAGCTATCTAAAATATTTCTTTAGAGTAAAAAATACCCCCCGAGTAATAAAAAAAGGAATGAAACAGTAATTGACTATTCCATTTCATCACAGCATTGCGTTTTATAACTCGTTTTTTATACCCATCATTTACAAATTCACACATTGAGCGCACAGGAAACGTAGATATAACAGAGTTAATATCAAAGTGAAACGAGCTTTCATTAACCAGTATTGTGTAGACACGAATTGATGGTGATACGTGAAGGTCGATTTAGTTATGAAAAAGATCACTCTGCTTTGGCAAAAAAATATAGGTCAAACGAACCATAATAATCTATGAACTACATAAACACCTATTAAACGACCTCGCACGCAATAAAGGTAAGAAATATTTAACATTCTGAACCGAGGTTCTAATAGTTCTAAACTAGCAACGATAACATAACAACAATTAAAATAACAAACCAAATTGATTCGAGTGACGATGTTATTCCCGCTCGTGGCCACGTTGGATTCAAATATATCCACAGAAATGTGGACAAGTGTTCACATTTGCCAATGCCTCTGACTACTCTATTTGATATAACTGTCATGAAGTTGTATTATCAATATTATATTAATATTAGAAACATGATGTGTTCAAAGTATATTCAGATACTTTAACAAAAATATCTTAGACGCAAAAACAAATTCATTAAGAATGTGAATGAACACAGGCGATGGTTTATAAAACAATGGACATATCAATTAACCACAACTGGCGCCATATTGATTTCAATTAGAATCTCGTTTAGTTTTAGTTATGACTACAAACCTATTCCTACTATATTTATTTGCAACCGCTCACATAATATCCGCATATATAATATAACTATAACACTGAGTCTCTTTACTGTTTTTGAAACAAAACGTTTCTGCGTATAATTACACCTGCAATAAAAAAAGAATTTGCTAAATATAAATATTGTATAGACAAATACACAACAAATTTTTTTATCCAAATTTCTGTACAATGGTATAATACACTAAATACACTTATTTCTACAGAAATATTTTCTCAAACACTAAATGTAAACTTAGGTCGAGATAAAACTTACCAATCAACTTTTATAATATTTAATTCAAAATAACTATTCCACTCTGGCAAATAGTTGGAAATGGATATAAAAACAAATTTATTAGAATCAAAAAATAAATAACAAAAGCAATCTAAGACGAGAACGAGCCGACACGGATAATCAAAAGAAAGTGAGATCCATTCGTATAGTAGATGAATCTACGAAGATATTATATACACAAGTATACAAAGCAACAGGTGATTGTTACTCAAGTCGAGAGGTAATCGTGAAGGCCTCTGGATACATTTCACGACGTTAAAATTGACGTCAGCAGCCAAACAATGATGAATTGATTCGCGTTGGCACCATACCGGCTTTGTATTGTTGCGATGACCACCGGTGAAAGCAATAAAAAATTCTGTACATTTCAAACAGCATCTATCAACGAAATGGAGAATATTCTGTTGTATTTGATTAAACTACATCTCTACAGTGTATACAACTCAGCACTGTGGATTTTTAGAACAACATTTCCTCAACTAATACTTACAATTTCAATATATTTAATTTAAGCGTTGTGGTGAAAAAATTATTAAAGAATTGGCAAATTTTCTTTTTTGATGTCGGTTATTCTATTTCAAATATAACCATGGCTGTGTATACATTCTTTAAATGGTGAGTACACATTTTTACCACATCATTCATACTGTAGTAGCGAAAGTGAACGCCTCTATGTAGTGACCTTGTCTTTTAATGAGTTCGCACACATTCATAGTGAAGATGTTCTATGAAGCACTTATAGAACATCTTCACACGAAATAAAACAATTGCATTAAAATTTCTAATTCTCTTCTAGTAAAATATTAGAGGAATTCTTTAGACATATTTACATGTCTCTATATTTATTTAACTAATAAGAGGACGCTATATGTTGGAGCACGATGAAAAAGGTGGCTTTAAATTTTTCTTATACCTTTTTACTGAAAATTAATATAAAAAGATACATTAAAACGGTTTCCTATATTAGGAGAAACAGGTATAAAACCGAACTATTCATTCTATAAAAAGGTAAAGCTGAATTATTATAATATATTTTCAATGGCTGATGACATTTAACAAGATCAACTAATTATGTAACTAATATGTCATTGCTATGAAAAAAAAGATACATTCTCTGTCCGTCTATATATAGAACCATATTGAGCAATGCTTGACTGCAATTAACTAAGATTTTACCAAAAAATATATATATATTTGACCGCATTCTGTAAGTGCTGATAACTTGCATAATGACAGTTATTAAAATTCGCCTGACCCCGTCGTATCTAATTGAACTACTTGAAGATTATCTGCTATTAGGAATGTAGTAAGATGCACGAACAGTATAAACACTTCTTATAATTTCAATTTTATTTATAAGATTTATATATATACGCTTCCTGCTATGGGTATATTTACATAGTATAACATAAAGTCGTTTCCGCTGTCTCTGAGCTTAGATATTTCAATTTAGGCAACGCATTTTAATGCAGTCTTTAAGAAATAGAGTGATTCCAGGGGAAGATTTATATGTATAATACATGTAAACCCGTGCGAAGCCGGGACGGGTAGCTAGTGATAAAATATAAATTGACAAGAACTCATAGTTATATGACTGTAAACTTAATTAATAAAATGC